TTAAAAGACAAGGAAATCTGTCAGTTGGTGGAGATTTTTATTAACAGAAAAATTAATTTGGTAGGAATTAACTTATTTCTACCATGATTTTGCCCATCTCTTATAAAAGAATAAGTAAAATAATCAAAACATTTTCTGTTTTACCCTGTATTAGGCAATGCCTCTATTTGTTTTGCAGGTTAAGTATGTCACACTATTTCACTGGCAAAATAAGTACTGATTTCTTTAAAACATTGTTTGATATCATGAAATTCTGTTGTACATTATCACCATTGTCTAGGAATTGCTTTAGTATATCCTTTGCTTGTGATACATACATACACTTCTTCTGCAGAATTGGCAATATATGTTTTTTCTATCTAGCAGAAGGTATAATATATACCTTCAACATTCATGACAAATATATTGCAAAAGCAGTGTCTTTTTATCTGATGTTTAATTCTGCACATGTGTATGCACATGTTTTTCCTTCTAGGTTAGAAACACAATGAAAAAAAATGAAAATCCTCCAAAGCGTCTGTCTTCTGAAGGTATTTCTTTTCTTTATCTGGTTTAATCTTTCTCAAGCTACTTAATACTCATGAAAAAATTATCAGCATCTTGTTTTTGAGTTCTGCAAAAGCAAAAGATAGTAATAAACAGCTGCATTCTCATTTTTGCAAGAATAAGTAGTACTGGTTAATCAGTATTTTGGTCAACTGAAAAGAAATTTTAGTTACCACCTCTAGCAAAATACTGTGTAGAGTTCTAAATTGATAGGAACTAGAGAAAACCAACGTGTCCACAGTCTGAATTCTTTCTGACCCGTGATATAACATACCTACTGATTGCTCTTCAAGACTAATATGCTTCTGTTCTGCCACCACTGTACAGATTAGTTTGGAATCACAAGCTAATTTTGTTTGTTGTAAATTAGTTTGGAGTATTAACTTCACTTCTTCATGGAAGAATTCCCTGCTCCTCACCCAAGACCAGGTTATAGCCTCTGGTTTTATACTTCCGTAGTGCACAGTACTTTTGCTTTTGTAATGCTTTGCATTCTTATAACTATTTAATCTCCCTTCTCTCCAAAACTAATTTTTGATGTGAGCCAATAGTATATCTCCTTTGTTTATCCCTTGTAAGTAGAATAATTAACAACCTGCTAAACACTGTTTGTGATTTGGTTAATCCCTTTTGTTCCAGTTTCCATGCATCATTTGATAGAAATGTATTTCTAGTCTTCTCAATGAAGCTCTTTAATTCAGGTCATTTCTCGGAACCAGAATTTTTTGTCAAATCCTTGTAATAGTAGCTTGATTCTTAATTTAAAACTGTCTTGGGTTTGTATCTGCAATATCAGTTAATATTTTAGTTAACGTAACAATAGATAGCATATTCATATGAAACACCTGGCATGTTATGGCTATGTAATAAAAGGGAAATTAAACAGTTTATACAGCTTTATAATATTTTGGTTCTCATAGTTCCATGAGCTTTTTTAGATAAATTTATACTTCAATCACTTACTAAGTAAAAACATAGAAACTTCTGGACTGACAGTCTCCTATTTCACCAGAGACAGGACAAACAGAGCATACTAGTCTAAAACAGGTAAAGATACCATCCAACAAGACAAACACTTGGCAGCCTCTTTCGAAGAGTAGCAGAGAGCATTTGCAAACTATTATGGAAACAGTAATAATGTGAGTATGAGTTTTTCCCATTTTACTCTTTTGATTTCTACTTTAGTGTTTCCTAGAGACAGTATCCCTTTAAAAATTATCTATTTTATGGTGGTAGAGTGTTTTTCCCTTTCAGAAGAAGACATATTTAATGTCTTTTAATGGAATTAGCCTTAGCAAAAAAGTCTTTGTTAATTTCAGAAACTTAGCATTCCATCAGTGAAATAAAAATGAAGTCTGTGTGGCCTGATCTGCCTAAACTTTTGACAAGTTCTGTCAACAGAGACACTTTAGGAAGAAATTGAGTTCAAATTGACACTATGTGGAAGTTAGTATGCCAGAGGGGTTACAAAAAAGATAAGACAGGATTCTGCCATCAGGGAACTAAAATCCCATCAGAAGAGTCAGGAATATAAATTAATTACAACAATATCATATAAAAATGACTTTGATTATACCTCTGTTTAAAATGTATTTACTATCAAAGGAAGGATGATTGATTCTGTCTGGCAAGTAATGAGACACACTTGAGAGAAATCAGAGAAAGTAAACAGATTATATTAGTTGTGATACAAGCTAATATGTATTCAGTCCTTTTTTATTTTTATTTTCTAGAACAATTTTGAGTGACAGTGGTACTCAAAAGGAACAAATTCAATATCATCTCAACTGCCTGAAGAAAAGGTAATGTAGTTATGCAACAGAAAATGGTTAAAACATATTAATAAAAGTCTAATTTGTTCCTATGTTGCCAGAACAGATATTTGTGGCATATAAAAGTTTTTTATTTGGGTTTTTTGTTGTTGTTCTTGTTTTAAAAAGAAGAAGAATTTGTGAATATACTACCTAAACTGATGCTACATGCGATTCTGAATTAAGTTTAAGAGAATTTATAAGGAAGAATCTGGAAATGACAAAATGCCTACTGCCACAATTCACTTTTCTGTATTGAGAATTCAAAAATATTTTGTCAAATTTAACTCCCTTCAAGTTCATTTTGAACAATTTGAAGTTAACAGTTCATCACTCTTATCTAATATTTATCCTCTTGCTGTTTTTCTTCGCTTCATATTGTGCTACATTATTTGCACAAGCAACAAGTGTGCTTCCCCAGGATATTACTGTTCTTCATCAAATGGAGATTTCTTTTCATGTGTTCTTAAAAGTCACAACCACTGCTGGTGATTTTCAGTGACGAGTTTTTTCTACTATTTGCACTTTTTCTTTTCATCGAAGAATATCTGGATTTTAGTTACAGGTTTGCCTGGAAATGATTGTGACCTATTGTTTTTTTCTTGGGAAGGCTGAACACAAATTTTGCTTAGTTTAAGTATAATTCTTAAGGATAGAAGCAAAATAGGGTGGGATGGGATGGGATAGGATGAGGTGGGGGGGGAGTTTGGAGAGAGGCTGAAGAGATTAAAGAAAGACTGCTGGAAGCATGCTTATAAATGGCTTACAGGAATGACAGCCTAATATCAAAGGTGTGCATAAAAAAGCTAATAAGTTAATACATAATAAAAGGGGAGCCATTTATGGTTTTTTTAATATAGGGCTGATAATCATGTTTGGTGTGTAAATGAGACTATTACAGTCCATAATAACTGCTCTTCACAGTGATCTCCCCGGGTCATCAGAAAGATTAAATTCTCTTCAACATACAGGCTGTCTTTTTAGGAGCAGCCATAAAGACCTATATTTCAAATACTGCCTCGTGTCTTCATTTTTGCCTTCACACTTCACTTCCTTTTGTTCCCAAAGTAACAATATTCAGGATTCTTGCTCTTTTACTAACATAGCAGAATGCAGCCTTAGCAAACTGATTATAATTGAATCTTGGAATAAATTTTCCTATAGCAACATTTCTCGAAGTATATTTGGGATACTTATTCTTAAAGATACTCTGAAAGAAGAGATATATAGTGAATTATGATTGGATACATTAGCATATAAAAACCCCTGCAGTAAATAAATCTGTTTCATTTTGCTTAACCTAGCATCTCCCAAATTGATGTTTACCACAAGAACCCTTTATGTCATATTTTTGTTTCATCTCTGCTTCTGTCTGCATTATGGCTTCATTCTTTTACATTGATTGTCCTCACTACATTAGAGCTGTAGGCACAGACAGCTCCCTATTTATCTTTCCAGACTTGGGAAGAAAGAGGAGAAAGAAAATGCTTATCCTCTTAGCTTCAGTTAGAAAATTCTGAGAGATGGACTCTGGTTGGCCCTGCTCAGGTGATGTGCCTATCTTTGAACTCATTTTGTTACAACTGATATAGACTAGGTCATATACCTACCCCAATGATGGGACAAAGAGGGTTGCTATTCAAACGAAATGGCTAGCCACTAGTTTCTAGGGAAACATTCTTTGGGAAAGTTGTCCTATAGAAACAATGTTATAAGTGGTGATTAGGTGGTGTAGATACAGCAGGGTGTATTCATGTTACACTTTTAGCTTGATTGGATTTTGCAAGAATCCTGGAAATTAACCACTAATTAGAACATTTGGAACAGTGGATGACCCACAGAATTGACTTACTAAACTTTTAGAAGAAACTATTCATAAATGGAAACTTTATTTTAATTGGGAAATCGAAAACTTATACCTCTTGGGAAGATTATACAGACAGGTTTTTATGCTTAAACGTGATGCCCTAATGATAATTTTCTGGATAACTGCAGTTTATCCCAACAGCTTAATGAAAATTATGACTTGGGTTTTATACTGCCTACTTTTTTCTTTACAAAAATTAATATTTTGAATAAGATCCCAGGAATATAAAAGTCTTGGGTTCCACTACTGTTCAAATTAAGTAGTAGGACTTTTTAGAACCCCAAAATGCTTCTAGGTAGAAGCGACCAAAATTAGATTTTCCTCCTTGATTTCTTTCTATAGAATTCAAGAATCAAATCTAGAAAAGCTATATTGCTCTGTGCCAGAAGGGTAGTAATGGTTTCATTTCTGCTGGTGATCTGATCAACCCAATTTGAAGGAGGGTTTTTTAGCTTTAATACTGAATACTATTCATGTTGTTAATACTTTAGAACAAAGCACTTTAATCTCTGTTTTATTTGCCTTAAAATCAGTGGGATTCAGTTTTCTTTAAAATCATTAAGTTAGAGTAACTGATGTAGACGTTCCCTTTTCTTGGTTGCATTCTCTAAAACAACTGATACCAGAGTCCAGGGTCATAGTTAAGACTTACACTGTAGTGCTCCATCTCTTATCCAGTAATTCACAATAAATGATAAACTTAGGTGCTGGAATAGTCTGGGAAACACATTTAGAACACACAAGGAAATTTTGATTTTAAAATGTATATAAATAATTGTTAAATATGTAAAATAGAATATTCTTCTTTTATGAAACAGCCTAACTGCCCCATGGTTTGAGGTAAACCTTAATAAAATGAAAGGTTAAATGATGATTTGTCAGGGCTTTTTTGGGGAGACTTACAGCTAAGGTTAGCCACTGTTAATAAATGAATATTATAGCCCTTGGGAATATGAGGACAAAAAAGATGACAATAGTATTTCAAAAAACAAAGCAAAAATAATATTAATGGTACTCAAAAAATAAATAATTATATTTTTATTCTATCTCAAAGATTGCTACAACGGTTTGAAACCCTAAAAGTCCCTCCCAAGAAGCAGAAAGATGTAACTAATGTGTCAAGTCTACTGAAAATGGAAAGGGCACAGCACAGAGCTAATGAAGAAGGTCTGGCATTATTGCAGGTAAGAAATTTGAGCAAGGAGTCCATAATTAAGGGTGAGGGGGAGAGGCCAAAAAGTTTTTTACATTGTCATGATATTCTGGTAATAAATACTAGATCTTTGACATTTTTCATTAAAATCTTTTTTTTTCTAATCAAAGCACAAACTTTGCCTAAACTTGGGACCTCTAGTGTTAAAAGTACTTCTATTATATTAGTGATTAAGTAGCGGTTTTATGTACTATCAGACTTTATAACTGAACTATCTTAGTATTTTTGATTATCAAATTATAGGAACTCATCACTAAATGCTATAGAATGTCAAAACATTAGTTTCCCCATCCTGTGTATTATGGTACTTTATTGTCAGGAACATGCTCGTTGTCACTATTATTATTCTCATTATAGGTAACATGTAATGAGGGCTCTCTTTGTTGTAGTTAACATTCTAAGCACTTATAGTATGCTCACAACGACTTAAAGAGGTCTTTTCTATCTTTGTCTTATTCTCATTTCACAAATGTGAAAAAGAAACATACTGATATTTCTAGCTGAACCTTAAACTGCTTGAAGTTGTAATGCAAACCTAGTCAGTCTGACGTCGGCATGGTTCTTAATCATTATCCTGTGGAAAACCAATGGGAGATAACTTTAGCTGTCACGATGAACTTTAGCCTTTTTGTTTTTTTAATTGGGAAATTGGGGGGATTGGAACAGCGCTGGGGAATTGGGGGAAGGGGAACAGACAAGTTGCTGTCGTTTTTTGCTCTTCAGTCTAGTTGTGGAGGATGTTGCTTCACTGGCCCAAGTTGGCACCATCATTGTGCTCTTCCCGGGCGAGGCAGATCAGTCGCCAGCTTCTGGACGGCCGCTCACTGTGGCTGCTGGCCTCTCACGCTGGCTGCTGGCTACACACGGTAGCCCATGGCAACCCACCTGCCTTTGCCGGCGACTCACGTCATCCCAGCTCGAGGTTGAGCTGTTGTTCAGCATCTTAGCTGTAGAGGGCAGTGTCACTGGCCCTCATATGTGGGATCCGAACTGGGGCCCTCTGGCATCCCAAGCCAGTTCTTAACCATCACGTCACTCGGCCGGCCCACTTTAGCCTTTTAATTAGTGGACATTTGAACAATTAATAAAAGCAACCTTAGGGGGCTCATTAAATAATTATAAAAACTAAAACGTATTGGACCATATAGCAAAGTTGTTTGTGGATGTGGTGCTTAGGTCTTCGTTAGCAGTATGCTAAATGCAGTGTGGTAAATGGTGGTAGTATATCCAAGAAATGCATCCCTAAGGAATTCTAATAATTGAAAGTTTACAAATAATTCATTCCAATTTTTCCATATAATTGAGATAACATCGGAAGTATTAGTTTCTAAGCAACAAGTCTACCTGTATTATATTGGGTCGTCAGGAAAGTCATGACGCATTTTTGCATTGAAAAACAGAAAAATACATAATGACTTTCCCGACGAGCCAATAAATTAATAGGGTGGTACTTTTTAGTGGTTACCTCACTTTATAATGTAAGCTGTTTAATTTTCATCCCAGTGTTACTACTTTTCAAGGATATATTTTTAGTACTAGCACTAGTTCTAATACTTAGTGAACAGTTGGATTACATTAATTTTTTTTAATGTCAGCTTTATTGAGGTGTAATTGACAAAATTGTAAGATACTTAACACAATTAGCATATCCAGCACCTCACACTATATATCTTTTTTTCTTTTTTTTTTAGTAAGATCATTTAAGTCCTACTCTTAGAAATACAGTAGTCCTCAGGTTCTTAGTAATACAGTAAGTCAGTAAGTTCTGGGAAACTGTGACTTGAAGCAAAACTACATATAATGAAACCAATTTTACCATACATCAACTGATGTAAGCAAGATTTAAGTTCCTACAGCATATTTCTGGTCACAAAGACATCACCAGACTCGTAAATAAAGACCCAAAACAATCTAAGTCATTGAAATAAATGTGTGTTATGCATACATTTAAGAAATATTAATAAAAACAAGATAATTATTTCCCAACCCATATATTTCAGTTCAGGGTCCTAGGTGACTGGAGCCCATCCCAGCAGCTCGGCAAAAGGCGGAAACCCACCCTAGATAGGACGCCGTCCCATTGCAGGGCATGCTCACGCCTACCCACCCACACTCAGACTGGGACAATGTAGACATGCCAGTTCACCTCGCGTGCACATCTTTGGGACGTGGGAAGAAATCAGAGTACCCAGAGAAGACCCACATGGACCTGGAGAGAACGTGCAAATGCCACACACTCATGGTGGCCCCAGCCGGGAATCATTTTTTCTTTTTTTTCTCAATGTTATAACGAAATGACATTGAAAGAGCTGACATTATTCGAGGACCTGCTGTACTAAAAAAAATGAAGTTACAGAATTCAGGAAAGAATTAGAAAAGGCTTTCAGATATTCAGACTAAATTAAAAGGAGTGCTAAAGCAAACACAACAGGTAATGCTTACAATAAATAGAGGGTACAATAAGGAGAAAGTTTTAAGGATCTGAAAGATTTTTTTAAAGGTATAGAGAAAAAGTGACAAATACAAAAGTTTGGCAAAGAAGATACAACTGAGTATGGTAGGAATGCCCAAAGAAAATAACAAAAGCAACAGAACAAAATTAATTTTAAGAAGTTTCTAATGAAAAAATTTAGTCCTTATTATATTAACTTCATTCAGTGCTATTATTCATTCTCTTCTATTTGGGTTGAATTGTGGCCCCCAAAATGATATGTCTAAATCCTAAGTCCAGGAACCTATGAATGTGATTTGGAAAGAGGATTTTCCCGGGTGTAATTAAGTTTAGGGTCTCAAGATGACATCATCCTGGATTACCTTGGGTAGGTCTTAAACCCAATGACAAGTGTTCAAGAGATAGAAGTGTCCTTACAAGAGATTCAGAGACATGAAGGAAAAGGCCGTGTGTAAACATGCTGAAATTGGAGTGATGCAGCTACAGGAATGCTGACAGCCCTTAGCAGCTGGAAGAGGCAAAACTATGGAGATGATAAAAAGATCAGTGATTTCCAGGGGTGTGTGATGGGGGTAGAGATGAATAGGCAGAACACAGGATTTTTTGGCTGTTGGTCCTTTGCCTCTGCTAGAGTTACATATGTCTTCCAGAATCTCTGATACCAGCATCTTTGCTAAGTTTTTGAGGACATGTTCTTGTATATGGGGTATATCTCCTTGTTCCAGGGAAATTAAGTTTCCTTATAATGCATTATTACATTGGTAAATTCATTTCTAGGAAGCCTGTTTTTTGAAAGAAAAATGAAAATATATTGGCAAGTTTCTTCTAGCTGTGTTCCAATACTTGAGGTGTTTTAAAAATATGTGTATGTATAAATATCTTTTGGGGTTTCATTTAATAAAATGTTTAATTTAAAACATGAACTTTGTCTTTCTGACTCAGGAAGAAATAGATAAAATGGTAGAGACCACAGAGTCTATGACTGAGAATATTCAGACCCTGAAGAACAAAATTGAAATTCTGACAAGAGAGGTAGAAGAAGAGGAGGAGGAGATAAAGCAGGTAATTGTTTGAAAATGCATTCCTAGAGTCGGTGTGATTTTTAATGCTTACATTCTACCAAGACAACTGTTTAGTGTAATAAGATGAGAGAAATCGGTCTTTTGAAATAACTGTAGCTTTCTTTTTCTACTTTAGACATTTCAAGTAGATAGTAGTGGGGTACTGTCTCTTCCAGAACTTCCTCAGAAAAGTCTCAAAGCCCCCACACTTCAGGTAAGTACCAATTTACTATATTTTTACTATGGTGACTGTATCATCAGTTATGAATTGCATATATAAAACTATTATACCCTGTTTCTTTATAAACAGAACAAATGGAATTCATGATAAAAACTTACACAAAATTATTTTTCTCATTTAGCACTAGAGTATGAACATCTTTCTTTGTCAGTTCATGTAGATCTGTCTTGTTCTTGTCAATAGCTAATAATATTCCATTGTATGGATATATCATACTATAATTTGTGAATTACTGGATGGAAATACATTGCGCAATTACAGGTGATTCTGAGTAAACCCTTGTACATATATTTTTACACATTTGTGTAGTCATAACTGTAGGACAGATTTCTGGAAGTAAATTCTGAGAGTTGCTTTTGTTTATGCTTCTAACAGTGGTGTGTAACTCTTTATAAAATAGTATTATGGCATATAACTTTATAAAATACTCTTTATAAAATAGTATTCCTGGTAGACTATACACTGTTAATCTATCTTTTTTCAGAGGGCCCCAGTAGATATTATAGTGTAAATTGTTTGCAGTGGTAGAAAGTCTTCATGTTTTCTCAAATAGTAATTTGAAAGTTTCCTACCTATAATTCACCTAGGGTGAAAGGAGAGGGAACAGGCAGAGGGAAAACAGAATAATAGATTTGAAAGGAGAACAACAATGAGTTGATGGTTATTAATGTTGAGTGATGGGTACATGAAATTTATGAGACCATTCCCTCTAAATAACACATATTTGATATTTTTCATAATAAAAGGTTAAAAACTAATTATATAGGTAAAGGTGGCCAAAAGGTACAAACTTCCAGTTGGAAAATAAGTCATCGGAATGATTTAATATATAGCATGGTGACTATAGTTAATGATACTGTATTGTATTTTTGAAAGTTGCTAAGAGTAAATCTTAAAAGTTCTCATCGCCAGAAAAGAAAATGTGTAACTATGTGTGATAATGGTTGTTATCTAGGCTTATTGTGCTGATCATTTCACAATATATGCCAATATTCAATCATTATGTTACACATCTAAAACTATCTTATATGTCAATGTATCTCAATAAAAACAATTTTAACTAGTTATACTACTGTACCCACAGCAAGAAATTTTGGCACAAATTCCAAACCAGCTCCCTCTTCTGAAGGACTTGGACGTTCTCCATAATTCATCCCAGATGAAGAACCTGTTAACTTTCATCGAAGAAGCCTATAAGAGATTGGATGCCTCTTAAAGAATGGTTTTTAGATTATTCCATAGTAATTTAATGTTTATAAAGTTGTAAAACTGATAACCTATGATGATATTGCAGAGGCTGAGGCTTCTTCAGGATTTATTATTTCCTAATATGCAATTTAAAATTAGCCTCTGTAAATCTACCATTAGCATTTGATACAGTCCTGAAAACTCGGTGTTTAGCAGTTGCCAGGTCTAGGAATTCATATTTTTGTTGCTGTATTTCCAGTTATTTGCCTGCAACCATGAAATAAGAACAGCCGCAATCTAATGATTTCTAATGGCTGAATAGAGCTCATTTATTGATTAGTGCAGAGGAAATTTGATACTGTCTTAATATATGTAAAGTGTTTATAGTCCTAGTTCATAAAAAGTAGTTCATAAATGTTTGCTGTCATTATTATTCTTTAGCTGAAGACGCATTTTCTGTTTGGTCATCTGGAACTTGAGAAAACCCAAATGCCTTTGCTTTTTTACATAACTCCCTAGACTTTGTGGTGTCAGTAAGATTTGCCAGGTGTCTTCAACTTTGGAGGTAACGTGGACATTTGATTTCTTTGGTTGAGTTAGTGAATAGATGTTGAGCACTTATTTTCCCCTGTCATCAAAGCATACTTTAATTTCATCAAAGTGTTAAAAAGGAACATAAGCACATTTATTCCCTTAAAAGGAAAAACAAAAAATCCTTTCTAAACCTTTCCTCGTTGTGATGATAATATGTATATACATGTGAATAAATGATCACTAAACTATATCAAAAATTAATTCTGACCAACTACAGTATGTTGTCTGGATTGCTTTTATGTATTATCAAATAAAATAACTGCAATTTCATTATTTTTCTGTCTCGCCTAGAATATATTGTCAGTTAATTGAGAAGGTTCACAATTCTGTTAACATCCGGGCAGAGACCACTGGGAGCACAGCTTTAATTAAACAAATTCAGTTTAGTGCTCATCGCAGTGAGGGAGCCCAGACGTCATGAGGGAACCCTGGGCAGCTCAGTAAAGGGGTTAAACGGCAATAGCCTCTTCGAAAATGATGGTCAAGGAGGACATTAATGGATTCTCGAGGGAAAACAGTCAAGGAAGGAAACCTATAGTGCAGCATTTAAAGGAAACATTTTTGTATATTTTGGACTGCTTGCTACATGCCAGGCAAAGCAACCAAAAGTGAAAGATTTTACAAAACGTCTTAAAACTTAAAAACTCTTCACTTGGAAACTTAAATCTTCATGTTTTTGGAGTGACTAATACAGCCCGAACTCACAAATTTTGATCATTAATCATGACATTTATAATAGCTTTTGGTGGGGAGGGAGGCGGTGCACAAAAGCCTGCCATTTTGTTTCTCTCAGAACATCTGTTTAACAGATTATTGAACATCAACCAGAAGTTTTACTTCCCTTTGTTGCTGAGTGAGTGTTCTTCACTGCATGAACTGGTCAAACTACCCATTTGTAGCTTTGAAAAGTATGTGATGTAATTTTGAAAGATCAACAGTATCTTTTGGCAGGCAGCAGGCAGTTCAAAACACACAGTATTTTCTTTAAAGGCTGAATTTTGGTATACTCTTTATGAATAATTTAACTGTTAATTAGAGGCTCAAACACAATTAAAATTCAACTACACATGGTCCTAGTAATTCACATGGTCGTCTTTCTATGTGGTAAGTATCCACACCCATCTGAGTTCTCACATGCATAGGCCATCCCAACTATGATACAACTCCTGTCCAGTGAGGGGAGGATAAAGGCCAATGCCAGGAACTTTAAATTCTAAAAATACATATTTTGAGACAGGATATATAGCGTAAAAATGCAGCATATAATGAAAATAGCATTTCAAATAAAATGCAAAAAAAATATTAAGAAATGGTCATGAGTAAACTGCTAACCACACTAGAGATGGGGGCAGAGTGAGAGCGGTTTTATATTCCTACTTTATGCCAAAGTGGATTCCAAATATATAAAATAGAAACAAAATATCAGTGACAAATACCAATAGGAAAGTGGTCAGGCTCAAAGATAACCTAAATGGTCAATAAGTGTTTGAAAGATGTTCAACCTTATAATAATCACTTAAATGCACATCGCAACAATGAAATGTTTTCACCTATCCGATTGAAAAAGGCTAAAAGGGAAAGTTGCTGATCATACAGGAAAATGGGTCCCCACTAATTGCTGAAGGAAGGAAGGTAAAGGGGTGTAGTTTGTGTGTGTGGAATTTGGGGGAAGGCAGCCTGCAGAGATATGGTGCAGAACCTTAGCGTGCTGCCCGTCATTTAAAACTATATGAGCCCTTCCATTTTCCTCAACTCACGTGGGCATATGTTTAACAAACAGGTTTTGTTTAAATATGAGACACCTGCACTGAAACCTAAAATTAAGGGATTTGCTTTCTCTTATTTGGTTGGATGGAATCCTAGCATTGTCTATTTACCAAAAATAAATGCAGGTGCACCTGTCAACGTTAGTATTTGAATCATTCAAGTTGGCTCAGTTTCCAAACATTAGTCTTCTAAAGCCTCTCATGTGTCATTCATTGTCAAGAAATATTCAGCTTTGAGGGAGAGAGAGGAAAGAAAGAAAGCAAAAGCAGAGAGTAACTCAAATTTCCCATGTCTAAAGTGACTGAGCCTTTTTTGTGTTACAACTTGCTTTCCTTGTTAAGAGTTGCTGCCATTGAAAGTAGTTCTTCAATACTAAACCACCATAGAGTCACTTTCTGTTGCCTTACGTATTTGCTTTCCTTATTAAAGTGGCCTCTGCTGTTATCAAGACTGAAATTGCTGTAACAGCCCAATCTAAAGATTGGTTATAGTTGTTAAAATTGGACAAAGAGGAAGATGTTTCCCAAATCCAATAAAACTACTCTAGACCACTTTTTAAAAATGAAACTGTTCAGTTTTTAATTAATAGAAATGAATGTGCCTTAGCCGATTTCACCAAATTTTATACCCCCAAGGGGATCCTTCAAATTAATGTAGGATTTCAAATGGGACAATAGGGCTATCTAATAATGATAAAAGTGTCTGACATTTACTGATGTGTGCTATATGCCAGGCACTATTCTAAGCCCATTACATGTATGCACACCTTTATGCCAATGTTTAATCCTAATAACACTATGGGGATTAAACCCCATAATTGTCACTACTACCCCCATCCTATAGTGAAGAATCTGAGGCATAGGGAGGCTAAGTAACTGTCTTAAGATCACTCAAATAGTGATAGAACTAGGAACCAAAAATTAAAAAATGTAATTTTGACTTCTTAGGAATTTGCTGATGAGCTACAAATAGAAGGAACTGCTGAAGCTGATGAGTAAATCTTACAACAATGTACACAAATCCACCTTTTTCTAGGTGTCACGATAATATGTATTATGGATTTGTTCACTTGGGTTTATAGAAGAAAATCTCTTTAAATTTATATTAGTAACTCCCTTTCTCCCCCTTTTTTTTCCTTTTAATTTCAGAGTTAAAAGTTCAGTTTAGCTTGCTGGACATATTTCAAATTTAATTACCTTCAACCAATGTAGTTTTACTGGAAAAGTAATATGCTTTGCCTGATTGGCTACTTTTCCTATTGGCAAAAAGCAACTATATTAATTAGTTCTGGTGTTGTATAGAGAGCAAAGACTTTTGAAAACAGAACAGAAGTTTCTGTTTTGGATGCGTTTGGGAAATGGATGTTCTATAAACCTTGGGAAGACTTTTATGTCTCTCAGAGTCCATAAATAACTTGACCCCCAACTTTTTAAAGTTTTACTGATGTTGTACTTCATGTCTCAAACGGATTCTGTTCTACAAATAGTAGCTTATATTCATTTTTTCATTGGTTTTCCTCAAATAATAGTTAGAAAAGAATAAATTTATATAGGATCCTTAGGGCCATGCACAGGTACATGTTGCCCTCAGTAACATCTTTAAAAAAAAAAAAAAGTTATCAATATACCAGGATCAAAAAATCCTCTTACTTTGACATTCAATAATTGTTATCTAATACAATTTCTCCAGTCACTTTCAACTACCAATTGCCCATTGTATGACTTTAACCAGCACCTGCAAGTAAAGAATGTCCTAGCCTATCTCTTCATTTGATCTTGACTTTAGGAGACCTAACAGTGGTAAACAGTATCCTCCCATGTGACCATATTGAAATGGAAGCACTCTCCATATGCCTTTGAGACATTTGTACTGTTCATTATCTCTGAAGACTCAAGTATTGTGTTGTGTGCTGAGCTGTCCGTATAAATGCTTACGTGGTGCTTGGATTGCAGCCATTTGAGGAGGAGTAAACTCTGAGTACTTTTTGTTTAAAAGAATCAGGTAAAAGAACTAGAAGTCTCAAAAATACGCTGAATTTCACAAGTATCCCCTTTAGACATTACCCCCTTTTATCTTTGGAAGTTTAGAGCAGCAAAATCATTTTCTTGAGGATGAATAATATATAAGGGGTCAGTATCTATATTATTTTACAGTACCCCCTTCGCCTGAGTCCCATTCCCTTTTATTCTTTTCCATAAGATCCTGACGGATAGGTTTTGTGTCCAGAAAATGTCCATCTCTAAATCAAGATGTGTATTCATTGGCTTTATACCACAAGACTAAATGTGACAGAAAAGAACAGATGGAGTGAAAATACTTGGGCTGTATATGTGATAAATTTCACCTGACATCATAAACTCCTCCCTTCCTACAGGTGTGGACACTTTTTTTTTTTTTTCAATTCCTCCTCTTTCCACTAAGGACTAATTAGGGAAGTAGGCTTGAAGAATAAACTAACCATTTATGGAGAAAGAGCCACTGGACTAATATACAGTGAGAGATCTCAGTTTCAGGCTGAACTCTCAACGGCAGGTAAGCATTTATTCATTAAAATAATAATTTTCAAATCATTGGTTATGATGTCAAGAAATGGGAGAAACAGATGAAATTCAACATTACAAAGGAAGAATTAAGTAGGTTTAGAGGAAAAGATGTTTTCTTTTTGGTTTTGTTATTTGGGTTTTTGGTTTTTTAACTTAAATTTTGATATGGGGAAAAAAAGCATGATGAAATATAACATTTACATTATGATATGGGAACAACTAGAGAAATAAGAGATGAATCTTTTTAAGCAGAAAACCTATCATCTGAAAAATAATTACTAGCTTTGGATTGCAAGTGCTTTAAGAAATAAAAAAAACTTTTCTCATTAACGAACTCCCACCATTGTATTGCAAATAGCATATTATACCACGAAAACAGAGATCTTCTGTTTATTTATTTATGAGAATTAAGTCTCCCAGAGAGTATCATGCTTTCATTGTCTAGTTAATTAATAAAATGCTTTAGGTGCTTACTGTGTGCTGATGGACATTTGCCCCAAAGAAACTTCTCTAAAAGTTCTATGAGCATAATTTTATTTGATAGACCGGTTAGTGAGTCTGTTGTTGATAACAGTTTGGTAAAGGATCAAAGGATCTACAAACCTGTACCTTCCAATTAAGAACACATTAATTACAGGGAATTTATAAGTGAGAGGTGAAGATATGATATCTTGATCTTGTAGCTTTCAGAGTTATTGTCATTAGGACTTTCTAATATAATTCAAAAATGAAAAATACTTTCTGCATCTGGGAATTTCTACATCCTGTTTTGTGGCCTTTAAAAATTATCTTGGTATTTAATAAGAGAAAGATTCTTATAAAATTCATCACTGCTTACTGAAAGGATAATCTCCAGTGTTGTTCATTAATTATAGTATCCTCTCTGTATGAACCCCTGGGAGAAATGTCTCTGATTTTAATGTCACAAGCATTTATCACCCTAAGTAGTTTTGTGAGTTGAAAGAGCTGCTTACTCTAGAAAGGTATATGAAAGCTAGATCAAGTGGAGCTTTGAATATTTACAAGTTAGAGAACTGGTCTTCATTTAGAGATGGTACAAGTAAAAAGTCAAGCAAATGCTATGGTCAAGAGCATAAGGATAATTAATTGTATGGGCAAACCGAGTCACGTAACTAATCGTGTTTGTTTCTCTTTGTGTTAGCTGCTAGAAAGCTGAGTAAAAAATGGGCTCTCGCCTCCTGCAAGTATATTGGATTCTCATTGTTCATGGTCCTTATGTTACTAAAGTCACAGAGAAGAACACGCTTAGAGAATTCCGAACCATTCATTACTCCTAAGGAAAATACAGGTTCGGTTCCTGCAAGCCCCTGGTCACAACCTTTTCATTAGCAGGTGAACACATAGCCTTGTTCTGTGTGTATGTATTTCTGTTTAAAGCCACATTATTTAATATATAGTGTTGATTTCTTATCATTGAATTCACATTCAAGAGCGTTATAACTCATGCCTGAAGGAAGGGAGCTTCTCTAACACATGTATTTTCTCCGTAAGGCACATTACAGCCTTTTTGCACTTGGGAACACTAACCAGCACTGAAGCACAATGCTTGGGGGCCATTTTAAACAGTGAAATCACCAACAAAAAGCAAAACAATGTGGCACTTCATAGACTGCAAAAAGGATTGTTTATAGTACTAGAGCTGAGACAAGAAGTTGACTTCTTCAGCTGAAAACGGTGGTGTTGGGAGACTCAAATTTTTCACTGCTCTGCACATGTCCACAAATGACTGCAGAAGCACTGCCAGTATTGATTTTTGGAGTTACAAATAAGTTTTAGCAAGTAGGTGAATTCGCAAATATGGAATCCATGAGTAAAGAGGATCCACTCTTAGTTAGGATTGTCCTCCATAGGCTTTGCCTGTGGACCTCGCCTGGACTCCTTATTACTTCTGTACCTCTATTTTTACCCTTGCCTGAGTTTTAATTTAAACTTAATATTTCTTGATATAGTTTATCTATATTTAGACGTGGTTTTAGATCCTTTTGGGAACAAACTAGGCAATAAATAAGTAAATCATCACCAAGTAGTTAGGATTCCTACCCTTTGCACTAGCTACTTTGCTGTTATTAGATCATAAAAAGATCTCCAGACATCACACCTAATAAGAGATACATGATCCGCTTCCCTTTGAAATAATTTAATTTTGTTTTCTCAACAGATACAGACTAGAATAAATTAATGTGTTTTACACGAGTGTAAGGGTGAAATTCAGAGAATCAATAAAGCATTTAGACTTAGCTAGTTTGCAGTTTAACTCACCGCATAGCTCGCTATCTAGCCACCTGTAATTAGACTTAGTTTTCAGTTTGACCTATCCTGATATTCTTGTTTTCTCTTCGTGTCTGCCCTCACTGATTAACAGAGGAATTCTGTTTTCAAGGCTACTGGTATCTTGTTAATTAACAACATCCTAACCTGGAAAAGAGCACTTTCTTAATCCTCAGGCTCCCGGACACTGGAATCCACTTTACAACTCCCTTGCAGTTGTTTACTGGTGAGGCATTCAAGTCCCAGGCCGCTATGGCCCAGTTAGAGTCTGGAGTCCGGAGATAACATCATCTTCCCACAGACCAGATGCCAGGAAGGATGTCAGCCCTCAAACCAGCCTGACTGACTCCCCATTTCCTATATAAGAAAAGCTACCCTGAAGCTAGTGCAGCTGCCCACTCTCAGACTCTGGACTCTGCCCCGGAGACCCAACCCCACCCCCGCTGGTGTTTCTCTCCTTACCACCAGAGGCAGCCGTCATCTTTGGACACTGCCCTGGGCATTCTGTCTCTGCCATAACTTTAGTAAAAACTTCCTTTGCAGAGTCTGTGAATGCTTTCACCTTTTGCGAATGAGGGAGGGTTAATTCCACACCACGACAATGAGAATTTCTTAAGAAGTTAAAATTTAATCTAGAGATGACGTGAGTGAGTGAAAAGTCAAGCAGATACAAGGGTGAATAGTTGATGGCTATACTTCTTTCTTTGCTCAACCTTTCTCTTGGAAACTTGATCTTTATAAAGTTTCTGACATCGCCCAGACTATGAATACTAGGACACAGAAGCCTGACGTTCGGCCCTTAGTCCTCTTCTGACTCCGGTAGGGAACACCAGTACCTCAGGTATGCCACTCAGTAAACTGGAGCCCTGAGAGCTTGATCATAAGAAACATGCCTCTTGGAGGTTCAAGCTCATATGAATTGTATGATAGTGTTTTACGGTGGATTTTTAGTAAGTCACAAATGAACGCTGAGTATCTTATAGCCACAGAGATGCTGCTTAGGGCAATCAAGTGGCTTTCTCTATTGGAAAATGTGTTTAGAGGAATAATCCAGCACAATCCCAGAAGCACTAGATTCTCGTGTAGCTGAGTTACCTTTGCCGTCCTAGTGCCTGGCTGCAAAGAGTAGGTAGATAAGCTCTACTCCAGAAATTATTTGAATACAGAAAAATATATTTTTTTCTTTAATTTAGTTAAGACCTGACTGTAATGTTGGGGGGAAAAAAGTTGCCATGGAAACAAAAAGCAGGGGAGATGGAGCCCCCAAATCTAGAAAATATAATTGCATCAGAATGAACAGAATGAAGTTGCATACGTTATATTTAGGCCTTTTTTAGTTCCTGAATTTTACCTGACTAAAATTAGACCCAGCGTTTGTACACATCTAATTCTTCATCTGCAATCTAGGTGTTTCTCTCCAAATTGTTCCTCATAACCACGCAACACCTGACCCACTTAAGCCTTTCTCTCAACCTTCATCCCACACCGAGAGAAAGAACTTTCCCTACTTATCCCGCAGACTCTTACTCTTGAGCTTCCTGGCATCCGTTCAGCAACTACTTAGGATGCCCCTTACTCTGTGCCAACCCCTGTGGTAGGTGCTGGACATACAGAGGACCCCAAAGCAGACGCGGGTCCTTCCCTTATGCAGCTCACAGTCTACTTGAGAGAGACTTAAAGAGAACATGAATAAATGTAAAATTACAACTGCTCTCATGTCCTGCAGGAGGACCTTAGAGCACAATGAATGTGTATAATAGGAAGACTTAGCCCAGGATAGATACTGACCTTCCAGGGTTAGGTCATTGACATTTCCCATTTGCATGTGTTCTCTTACCCATCATCCCCTCGTCTTCCCTCTTCCCAGTTCCGATGGAGCAACGGCATTCAGAATTACACCCAGTGAAAACAGGACTTCAAGGGTATATTCCCAGGTAGATTCAAATGTTAACAGGCAGATTTTAAATGTTTTGAAAACCTTCAAGTTTTTAATTAGGTGTGGAATTGCTACAGCTCTGGAGAAGATGTTGGTGCTAAACTGTTCTACCAAATTACTGATGCTGGAGAAAATGTTGAAGAGTCACTTTCCTGAATCCCTCAAGGTACTGTAAATCTAAGAGTTTTGTTTTATTTATTTTGTTAATCTGTGAAATAATGTCAGACTTGTGGCTGTTTCTCAAATTTTTCTGGTGATAAGACTCTGGGAGCACTTGTTAAACACACAGCCTCCCATCCCGTCTTGCTGGAGATTGATTCAGTGATTGTGGCCATGGCCCAGATTATTATATTTTTGACAGTCACTCTAGATGACTCCCAGGAAAAGTTTGCTAACGCTAGACTAGATTATTTCTAAGGTAAATTCAAGTTGTTGTTGTTTTTTTTTAATGGCAAAAAGGTATGGACTGAGTGGTATTGCTGGTAAGAACATAACATAACCTAGGTACACAATAGGACTGAAGTTTAGGAGTTGTTATAATTTTTTTTTTCTGTTTATTTCAAAATCTTTATTTTGCAAGTTTTTTCAATGGCTTTATTGGTCCTCAAGCTTCTATCTGTTGAAGTCTTCTAAAAGTCTAAGAGGGCTGGCTGATAACTCAGCTCCTGTGGAAGATGACAATCAAAGATTACTACTAAGCGTATGATTAGGAATGTTTTAAGCACTTGGAGGAAAAATGCAGAATGCAATAAAATTGCCTTTGAGGGCTGAGTTTTATGTGCGAAGAGGTTGACCAACAACAATGGTTTTCAAATGTTGGAGGCATGCTAATAACCTAGAAGAAAGATAATAATCATAGTTTCTGAAGCTAGAGACCAGGGACCTGTATTTTTAACAAACATCTTGGATAATCCTGATTTACACTAAAATTTGACCAAAAATGATCTAGAGAAAGTCCTAGTGCACTGTACTGGGTTGACTAAATGTAGTCATCTTGCCTTATTGATTGTGCTTAAATTATATGTGGTCGGGAAAACCAGTGTGCTAATTTGGGATTATACAGCTAAAAAAGTACCAAGTGGGCAATCTGACCCCGATGTTCCCATTTTGAATGCTGGTGCTGAGGTGACTAGATGGAATGAGATGATTGGCTACATTTGTTTGACAATGTCTGACTAACTCTTTGGCTAGAGAGAATGAAACAGGTTTTGGTGACCTTTCACAGGGTCATGAAAGATGTTATAATCATCAAGACAAATGATGGGCCTTTAAATTAAAACGATTATATTTACATAGTACTTTAGCATACAGGGACTTTCCATTTTTTTTAATCCTTCCAACAACTTGGTAAGGTGTTTATTAACCAATTTTACAAGTGAATAAACTGAAGCTCAAACAGGTCATGACAGCAAGTAAAGAAGCAGCATCCAGTCTCAGTTCCTCTGATTTTATATCTATTGCTTTTCCCACAGCAGCCTAGCTACCAGATGCCTAGATGGAGATGTTGAATTTTTTTCCCTTTTTTTCACTCCTCCTTCAGTGCTTGGCATGGGCTTTGCCCATAATAATTACTCAATAAGCTATTGTTGATTGGTCACTGGAAGCTTTATACAATAATTACTTATTCCCTACCTGTTCAAATCTTATTTTAAAGGCTTCTGAATTCAGGTTAGTTCACTTGACCTGAATAGCATGTATAATTAAAAAAATACCTTTTATACTGTCTCATTTGAGCTTCATCAAAACTAATATTAATAGCTCTATAGTATTAATCCCTCTGTAATATTAATACCTCTGAACAGGCAGATATTTATAATTTTACAGAAAAGGTTGCTAAGTCAATTACCCATCGCCAAGTGCTAGTGTTCAGGTTTAAATCCATCGTATCAGATTCCAATTTGAGTGTTTTTTTGAAATGTTTGCCTCTCATAACACCATTTGAAGTAAGGATTAAAGAAATGATACAGGTAGGCACAAATTGATGCCTTCCTTGTATAATCTTCTCTTTAATAGCTGCTTAGCGTTGTACTCCAAATTTCTCATTTTCCGTACACTGAGTCTCTTTATCCTGCTTCAGTTATTGCGTTGTTATGTAATGCCTGGCTTTGGTTCTTTGACCATACTTTGAAAATACCCTTTCATTTGCACTATGTCCTTTTGAGAATAACAAATAAAATTTTTAAAAAGGTAATTTTATTATTCACCCTTCTCCCATTCTTGGAAGTTATGGCTATGCATTTTATAATTTCACCTTAGTGTTAAAGTGATTAAATTATCTCTCCAAATGCCCTTCACAAGCTCTAACTGCTTATTCCTCCAGCATCTTTACTTTCTCTATCTCCTGTCAATACTCACCCTTTGAATAAACAGCTATTGGAAGGATTTGTTTGTTTTCAAACCAATGCCAAATTTCTCAGCTGGTTCCAAATCTTTGACAAACAGGTTAGATGTTTTGTTTTTTTTTTCTTTTCTTTCAGAATCTAAATATTGAAAAGAGTTTTTTTCCTTTTAACCTTCTATACATGCCAATCGTATTTAAGCTCCGTTCTTGAATAACGATGAATGGTTTCCTCATGTCAAGCCACTAATAAATTTATTTATTACTCTGTAGTAAAGGTGGGATCAGCAGCCCTAGAATTGAATGATTAACCAAACAAGTCAGGTTAAACAATGATTAACAGAACAAGCCACAACCTTTCAAGTTTACTTTAGTTCTTGATTTTCACTAAGAGTGATCCATGTTACACACTGGTATCACCTAGACTAAATTGGGAAAGACATATTCTGTGAGAAGATTTGAATGCGGTCCCAGATTGAGTAAAACAGAAGAGAGTTGGAAATGTCCTAGGCATTGAAGTCAGTGGATTTGAATTAAGATAGTGATAAAGAAGGTAAAATGTAGGTTCCAATGCCCTCATCATTTAATTTTTTTCATTGGCGTTTAACACATACTAGAAAGTACACATAACATACTCATACAGCTCAGTGAATTTTCACAAAGCAAGTATCTGTGTAACCTCCACTCCCTTCAAGAAAGAACATTACTTCAGAGGCCACTCCTCTCCCCACCCCCAACACTCCTTTCCAATCAATACCTTTCTCTGCACCCCAAAACTAACCGCTATCCTGACTTCTAAAGCCATAATTTAGTTTTCCGTGTTTTTTAATATAATATAAATTGGATCACACAATAAGTATCTTCTTGTATGTAGCTCCTTTTGCTCAACATCATGTTGCTGTTTTGTAATCAGAGAATGAATATGCCACAGTTTATTTTTTCCACTTTTGATGGACATTTTCATTATTCATAGTTTTTATCTATTATATAATGCTGCTATGAACATTGGCCTAGAGCTCAGCGCTCCTCATTACCACCCCAACTTTCTCCTTCTAGAAGCACACATATAACATATGAAGGTTGGTTTGTGGGACAGACATCTTTGATTCTTAGTGGAGAAAAAATTGTGAAAGGCCACAGAACAGAATTCTAATATTCAGTATTGTTTAGCCAAAAAGCATTTGATTTGCTATGGCAGGCTCCATGGATAGAACAATGAATGAGACATAGTTACAATCTTCAGGGAATACTTACAGAGCCTTGCTCCATCAAACGTGAAATGCAGGGGGAGTGTTTTTGGTTTATTTAGAGAAGGAGGTATATCACCATCAAGTGATGTTAAATTACAATTCAGGATTGAAGGAATAGTTGCATTTCACAGGTTATTTTCAGATAGTATAATAAACTTCAAAAGCAGCTGAGCAAAATTATCTGTGGAACTTTTATAAAATGTATGAGCCCTAAATCCATACAGAAGATTCTGATTCATTCAATAAGTATTTATTGCTAACCTATGTGTCAAGCACCCATCTAGTAAGCCTATTGATTAAATACCTCTTGCTGTTGTACTATTAAAAAAAATGGATTTAGGAAGCATTTTCTTAGGCTTTCATAGACCTATTTTTACCAGTTTTCATGTGCTAAGAGAGATGTTTGTGTGTGTGTATGTTGTGTATATATGTATCATTTCCCCCTCAGATGGCCATAATTATACAGTAGAACAAAAAGTGAAGAGGGTAATATGCAACTTAAACAGCTGGTAATGTGATTGGCTTGTATCTCTGGGTTCTCCGATTCAGGTTTATGGAGCAGTGATGAACATAAATCGTGGGAATCCCTTTCAAAAGGAAGTGGTATTGGATTCATGGCCAGACTTCAAAGCTGTGATCACTCGGCGGCAGAAAGAGGTACAGTTTTGAAAGGCAATAATAATAATAATAATAACAATAAGAGTTGGCATCAACCAGAAAAGAAAGACTAGGTAAAGGCGCTGTTATAACCATCATAGTCATATACTTTAGCTTGACAAGCTACGTATTTGACAATTAGCTTCTAATTTCACTGGCTTTGGAGTATCAGTCACATGAAAAACCTCTATTCTAAATGCATTCAGTAAAGTCTTTCTCCAGTGTTTCGTAACCTCTAGAAGCATAAAGCATACATACTTGTTCATACTAGTTTTTTATGACCAATGACTTTGGTCATGCAGATAAATAAGGAAAAAGACTGAAAAAGACATCTACCCCATTCTGCCTCTGAGACCAAAGACAGGCTCAGCTGATCAAAGATGCGCTTCCTACCACATTAGGAAAGATCTGAGAGTTCTATCTGGTTCTTATACATGGGTCCATTGAGTTATACCCTTATTTTTATAGGTAAATAAAATCCTACAAAAATGTGAAATAAATGTCTTAAAACCTCTCTAATACTGGAAGAAATCATCAAGCAAAAGCTCCAAAATATCTGTTCTTTCTCTCACTAGAGTATATTAGCCACATGCCCAGTTAGCCTTTATATATAGGTGGCTAATTTTGTTAAAGGAAATTGTTTAGACATGCACAGCTAATAGTAACTAATCTATGTAGGAGTGATCTAGAGGACGTGTGTGTTTATGTTTTTATGATTGTGTCTTCTGTCCTAGGCTGAGACAGATAACCTGGACCATTATACTAATGCCTATGCTGTATTCTACAAGGATGTCAAAGCTTACCAAGGGCTGCTGGAAGAATGCGATGTTATCAACTGGGACCAAGTTTTTCAAATACAAGGTAAGGTCAAGTGCAAGATACTAGGCAGTCATTAAATCCTTTTTGTCATATATATCAGATATATAAATATGACATATACATGATATATGTGCATATATATTCACAAATACTTATCCACACATTTTACATATTTACTATTTATGCTTTACAGTTTTGTAAGAACACTTATTTTTTACTCCCGAAGAGCCTTGGCCTTTGGGGTAGGCGGAGACCATTTAAATGGGGCTGCTTTTAAGTGGAATTTTTTCTACTGTTACTGTAATATGGATATCACTGAGTATCACAGCATATTTTTCCTTTACTATTACGTTCTTTTAAGGTAACTCTGATTTAAGTCTAAGCAAATAGGTAAGCTTTTCTTCTTTCTGAAGTAAATAATTCTGGAAAGAGATAATCAAGTGATCTGCGTAGGATATCCTGAAACGATTTTATAAGGAAAGGGTATAGTGAGCTCCAAGGAGATAATTGCATCGCCATCAACACCAGTGGAAGAACTTTAGGCCAAGACAGAAACAGATTACGGGTTTCTGGTAGTTTGGATTGACAGTTTCATCTTCAGTGTATCACTTACTCTTTCAACTTTTCATGATGATTGGGGTTAATACAGGCCATGAAGTTACTGCTTATATGACTGTCCCAGTGAAATGAATCCCTTGATCAGTTGACAGGTAGAAAGGGATTCCCATGTTAGAAATATAAAGTCTGGCATTTGTTTTCAGCCACAAACAGCTGAAGCCCTCTCACAAGAAAAAGCCTTTGTCCATCTGCAAACAATGACTAATGCATAGTCATTACCTAAAAACGCAGGATCTTATATAAAATCCATTTACAAATGCTCAAAAAGACCTTGTGGAGGAAGCTCTAAACTATCTCTCACCTTTACACATTTACCCCCGTTATGCTAATTAGAAGTGAGACATGGTTCTACCACTCGCTTAGCCAATTGAGAAATTTTTTCTCACCAGTATTAATGTGGAAATGAGTATACCTCTTGCTTGATGTAAAAAATCATGGCACTAATGGATGGATATTGGCGCTATAGGCCTATTACCTTCAAATCACCTAAATCTATCATTATGGAGAGAACATTCCCATAATTGCCAGTATTTCTTTTTTTCCGAAGGCTGATCTGATAGTCATGAGTCAGTTATAGTCATTTAAATTAACTCAATGGTCCTTCCTGAAAGCTTGGTGATGACAGATGTGAATTAGTAGCACCTAAGATAGCTGGAGCGGTAAAGGCCCCTCATTTAGCGTATAAATCAGAGCAGATATTACCTATAGTGTCTGATGAGGTCTCTTGACTCTAGGCTTCTGTAGTAATAGCTGTAATCTCCTTGGAATACTGAATAGCTTCTAAGAGGTCATCAGGATCTTTACTATTCTTAATCAGAGCGCCTAAAAAGGTAGTGTTTCCATGACATCCCCAAATCATGAACAATTCCATGAACAAAGCCTGTCTACTGCCATGTAAATGTTCAGTCTTTTATATTTTGCCACAGTGCAGGCTCTAGTCATAGCCACTAGTTGGGCTGGCTGCCTGGACAGATGGAGCATGAGGGAGGGGAGCTACTTCATTCCACGCTGGGTGTTCAGAGCAATGGCACGCCCTGCACAGCAGTGCCTTGGTCATTTTTAATCTAAGAGCCATCCAAAACAATTTTAAGTTAGGGTTGACCCACTAACCTACTCAGAGGAGCCAAACTCCTTGTGTTTGCCATGCGAGGGCAGGAAATGGAAAAGTATACAGCTACCCAGACAGGCCAGGCTTCTTGGCTCACTTTTAGGCACATGGATGAGAGAGAGCTTGTCTACATGATCACTGACGTGAGAGTTTCAGAATCCCGCCCTCTGATAACCATGGTCCATTAAACTTCCTGAATCTGGCTTATCCAATTGTCAACTTCTCCCTTTCTAAGGAGGTAAGGCAGAACAATAGGTGGAATTTCCTTTCTTCAGTGAGAAAGGAGAAAGTCATTTGTTAAAAGTGGCAACCCATACAATGGACAGAAGAAAATGGTCAACAGTACTGTGGAGAGAGAATCAGCAAAATCCAGACCATGGAAACTCTACTCAGCAAACAACTGGATTCTTTAACAAATAAATTGAAAGAATTTTTTTTTTTTTTAAAAAGGGGAAGTGGAGTAAAAGAAAACCTGCAGATGACAAGATTTACAAGACAAAAAAATGTGTAAAATCAAACTGTAGTGTTTAAGAATGCACGCTTGGATAATAAAACTATAAAAAAACAAGGAAGTAACTATCATAAAAAATGATGATGGTGGTTATTTTTAAAGGGGAGAGATTGTGATTGGGAGAGTGATAAATAGAAAATGGTTAATAAATTTCTATTTTGTGGCTTTAGTGGTACGTGGCTAAAATGTATAATAATTAAGCTATGCATTTTTATGTGGTGTTCTGTACTGTTACATCTTATAATTTTAAAAGTTTTTAAAAGAAATGTTAATCTGACTTTTAGAAAGAATTGCTTCAGTCTAACATAGGAAAAAGAAATTCTGTTTGCGCTACCATCCATACCTTTGGTTAGCACGACCTATTTTTTTCTCATCGTCTTTTGAATTACTCATAATTCAGTGTTATCATATAGGATGCTAGCCACAGCATGTATAATTTTAATAGGATTAATTTGAAAACCTACTTATATTTTCTTAGACTTAATTTCCTGAGAGAGGAGCCAAGGTTCAGATATCAGATGGTGTTGAACATGACTTCCCACTCATGTATTCTTCAAGAGGAAGTGACTTCTGGGAGGAGAAAACAAGCCATTAAAGGTGGAAGGAAGTGGGGAAGTTAATTTCCAGGGGATTCAATCAATCACAACCCAGAGTGGAAAAGATAGAGCAGATAGGGATTTGGAGAAGCCCAGATTAGCGCTAAGTAAACAGAAGGTAACCTGCCATGCTGTGAGCTCTATCAGAACAGAGACCATACCATTCTTATGTCGCAGAGCAGTGCCCAGCACAGCACTTTATACACAAGTACTGGATAAAGATTTATAGATAATACAGTATAGCTATGATGAATGAGTAGGATCTGTCTGGGTGAGTTCAGTTCAGGATAAATCTCATTAAGTTTATACCTTAATATTTCTGTAATGAACATTTAGGCAAGAGGCTGGAAGAGAGTCTTTAAAGACAGAATGCCATGCCAAATAAATCTAAGCTTTTACACTTCTAGCTGTATGGTAGATCGTAGACTTTAAGAGCTATAAAATGTCTCTTATCTTAGGGAGCCTAAGATTTGTCTGCGGGGTTAGAAAAATCAATGGGCGGCCGGTTAGCTCAGGTGGTTAGAGCTCGGGCTCATAACGCCAAGGTTGCTGGTTCGACTTCTACATGGGCCAAGGAGCTGCGCCCTCCACAACTAGATTGAAGACACCTACTTGACTTGGAGCTGATAAGTCCTGGAAAAAACACCCCCCACAACTAGATTGAAACAACTATTTGGCTTGGAGCTGATGGGTCCCAGAAAAAAACACTGTTCCCCAATAAAATTTCTTAAAAAAAGAAAAGAGAAAAATCAAACTTCCCACAAGGAATTCCGAATTCCTAAGGGATAGTCCCATCAGAAATTTCTATGGAAGATCATGATCACGACGGATAACATGATGAGAATTTGAAAATCCCACACAAAGTTTGAAAATCAGATAGGGAGTAGCCATAATAATTCACATGTAAATACATGGTGGTTTGGATAACGCAAGGTGGCAGACTGGTGGTATTAATGATACTTAGTATAAAAATAGTGCAATAAATTTCCTTTTCGCACTTTCAAATAAGATGCCCACATCTTTCATTGTGTCTTTCTGTATACAGGGTTGCAGAGTGAGTTATGTGATGTTTCCAAAGCTATTGCCCACTCAAAGCGGTTGGATGTAAAGCTAACTTCCTTCCAGGCGGTGCATTTTTCTCCTGTTTCAACTCTGCCAGACACCAGTTTTCTGTACGTAAATCAAGTTTATGCATTTGGGACAGGACTTACCACTATAAAAGTACAAAAAGCAGCACCTGGAGTACTTGGTATCATTAAGGAATATTTAGGCACCTTGAATTTAGGCCATTGAGTCTCAATTTGAATCTTTGTGTATGTGACTGTGTGTGTGTGTGTGTGTGTGTGTGTGTGTGTGTGTGTTTACTTTTTTCTTTTCTGCTGTGCTTGACTGCTCATAATTTCCTCCAAAATCAAATCAGTCTTTGTCGATAGTAACAAATGAACTCAGAAGTCCTGTATTTTCACAGTATACACAGAAAAATCATTCCTTGGTATCCTCTTCCCTCAAATAATTCTAAATAGCCTCTGTTGCCTGAGCTCAAGGTGGTTTTTATTGATTTTTGTTGTTTTAGGGATGAGGGTGTGTGACTGTCAGGCACTAAATATTTTAAATACATTACCTCTTGAATCCTTTCCACAACCCTATAAAGTAGTACTATTATTCTCTTTTATTATTATTATTATTTAATCTTCAAAAATTTCTGCCATGAGACAAGAGTGCATGATAGAAAGGGCTCAACATCTTCATATGTCACACTTGATTTCATTTTCATTCACAAGTTTTTTTAAAAACATCTATAATTTCATAATCCCACCCACTTCCAACTCATTCCCTTTTCGAACAGAGTTGAAGTAACACACAGGAGTAAATTGTAGAGCTGGGAAATAAATCCCGAGATGTCGGATTCCAGAATCCAAGCCTTCAAAGCATTTGTCGGTTCATATCTGCATTCTTCTTTTCTTCTCACTTTGGAGTCCCTGCTCTGTCATTGACTAGTTAGTTACCTTCCCTTCTGCTTAGTCTTTCTTCACCTCAGTCAATTTCTTCTTGAAAATTAATCTGTATCTTCCTTATATATTTTTTGTAAGTAAATGAAACTTGATATTTGAAAAGTACCCACCTTAGTGAGTGTTAGTTTTCTTCACTTCTATGGAATATGTTGAAGGAATTATTGAGCAAAACAGGACTAAACCCAAAGAAGAATGGACACTTGAAGTTATATAAAGCTTTATTAGTTTCCAGTTATGAAAATTTTCAAACGCAAAGTTTGAGAGACTGCTATAATGAACCTCTTCCCATCAATGGGTTATCTTGTTTCATCCATACCCCTATGTACTCTTTCCACCCCCTGGGTTATTCCGAAGGAAATATACCAGACATTATCCCATTATTTGTAAATATTTTAATATATCTCTCCATAAGATAAGGATCCTTAAAACAAATACTAATATCATGACTGTGACAGAGGTCGGGCTCAACCTATATAGTCATGGCTGTGATTTATGTCAATGAAAGGATACAAATCAAAATCAGCAAAGGGAAAGGTGCATTGACAAAGTCCAAAGGAAACCAGGCACAGACGTCCCAGAGTCCCCTCCCACTGGAGTCACACAGGACACTCTTGATTTCCCCAGCAATGAGATGTGACAACACACGTGAGGATTTTTATTAGCGACTCCCTCGGCCTATCATATACCAATATCCTAGACTCCCAAGAGGAAAGCAGTTGTTCAGCATAAGCCACATTGATTGGACAAACAGTTAAGCACAGTGAGACACTCATATTGGTTCTGGGAATGGCAGGAACCCTCCAGAAATTCAAATTGCCAAACCCCAGCCAAGGGCCAACCTGGTAAACAGTCTTCTCTATAAAGATGTGGCCTCAAGCCTGCTGTGTTAACTCTTTTCTGCACATCCCTTTAACATTTTGTTAATAATATTTCCTTCAAGTAAAATAACCAGTTAGTAGTCACATTTCCCAAATTACTATAATATTTTTAGCAGTTCATTTGTTTTGAATAAGCATCTAAATAAGGTTCCTATATAATATTGCAGTCGGTTAATATCTCAAGATTCTTTGGATATATAGGTTTCCCTGTCATCTTTTATATTTCTTATATTACTTTTTGTTAAAGAAACCAGGCGATGTGTCCTTTAGACTTTTAGAGTTTTCCCACAGTCTGTTTACTGTCATATTCCTGAGATGTTAATTAAAATTTTCCTTTATTCCCTGTGAAGCCTTCTACAATCAGTTTTTGACTTAAATTGCTCCGTTCTTCATGGACGTTAGACAATTTATCTTTAACAAAGGCATTACCCAAATGTGTACACTCTATATTTTGGATACCCTGCCCTTCAGATACAAGGTCGTAGTCTCTCGTACAACTGTTCCTGAAACGCTTGCCTCAGCAATGTTTTTATTTGCACTGACATATCTGCCTGAGGCTACTTTGCCTTTGTTTTTAAAGTTCATTAAGTTAAAATTTTTATTATGCCAGGTATTGTTGTATTTGTTTATTCTTTACCCCTGCCTAGTGGTTAGGTGATTGTCCCAGTCCTACATCCCACAGTATGCCTGGAATGTGAGTTAACACTGCAGAACCACGAATGAAAAGAAAATACCAACTTGTGCTTTAAAAAGAAGATCATAGCTAGAATGACATTAACAGCCACTGAGGATAGTCTCACCACACGGATAACTTCAAGAACACAAGCAAATTCTGAAGCACAACCAGCCCCATAGTCTGGTGATCCATCTTGGTTCTTAGAAGTTGCACCAATTCTTGTCTTTATCTTAAATCTTTTAGGGGAAGGTCTGGAAGAACTAGCATTTTCTGAGCATCTACCTATGCCTGGAATGCTAAGTAATTTGTCTTTTATTTTCTGGCCATGGATGCATAAAGAGAGAAGCTCTATCGTAAAACATTTTTTTTTAGCCAAGGAAAAAGTTAGAGACCCAAGAATCTGCACTTTGTCCAGGCTTCAGAGAGGGTGTCAGCAGACTCAGGACTTAATAAAAATTCTAAGAATTGTTTTAGCTGCCTTAGTCTGTACTGAGGACAACAATAAATGGGCATAAAATGAAAAGGAAAGACTTAAATTTGCAATGGTGATTACCTCGTCCTATCAGAATTGAAGCCCTGGAGGATGTTTGTAAGTGGGGAAAGATGGACCCTAATTCATTGAAAATGTCTTGGTATTTGTTAGGCACTGTCTTTGGGATAATCAGTATAAAAAGAGTAGTTGTTTGTAGTCACCGATCCCGAGTTCACAGTTCACATTTCTTTTCGCGTCGTTTTCTTCTAGAAAGAGTTCTCCCCCACGACTAACCTACCTGAGCGTTGCTGATGCTGATCTGCTCAACCGGACGTGGTCGCGGGGCGGCAACGAGCAGTGTCTCCGGTACATCGCCAACCTCATCTCCTGCTTCCCCAGCGTGTGTGTCCGTGACGACAAGGGGAACCCCGTCTCTTGGTCTATCACAGACCAGTTTGCCACCATGTGCCACGGCTACACCCTGCCAGAGCATCGCAGAAAAGGTTATAGCCGGCTGGTGGCCCTCACCCTGGCCAGGAAGTTGCAAAGCCGGGGGTTCCCCTCTCAGGGCAATGTCCTTGATGACAACGCAGCATCGATAGGCCTCCTGAAAAGCATCCATGCTGAGTTCTTGCCTTGTCGTTTTCATAGGCTTATTCTCACCCCTGCAGCTTTCTCTGGCCGAGTTCACCTCTAGCCCAGTAAGACTCCAAGAATTCTCTTCCTGTCCCTGAACATACTCATATTCTTTAGCTGCAAATGAAGAGAACATTAAAACGGGGATCAGGAGAATCCTGGGCTGTTGAAAAGGGCCTGGAGAAGACATGCAGGATCAACCTGAGAAGTCCTAACTCTCCCTGTCTTAGGAAGACACTGCAGGGAGTCACTGCAGGGCAGGTGGCAACACAAGATAGCTGAGTCTCTCCCCCACTGTCCCTCATTCTGTAAGTCTGGGGTAGGGCCTGAGAATTTACATGTCTAACCAATTCCCACTGCTCGGTTGCCTTGGATGGAGGAATGAAGATATGGGCGTTTTAAATACTAGAAATAGATGATATCAACCTAGGACTGCACCTTCCCTGTCACCTAGTCCAACCTCTTTGCTTATAATTTGCTTTCTCATAAGAAACTAAGATGCATATATAGATGCGATATGCAGATGCACATATAAACATACATAAGTAAACACACATCCTTTTCATATTTTCTATATGTATGTAAACGCATAGAATTTTGTTAAGATAATAAACTTTAATTCTCTCAGTACGTATGAAGAATCTGAGGACCAAGGTAAATAAATGACTTCAAGATTACATAGATAATCAGAGCTGGAGGCTGAGCCAGGATGCTATCACTTTGATTTCAATTTTTTTTTCCCACTAAATCATGTATCTTTTTTGTAAAGGAAATTTAAATGCTTAAGTAGTTAAATCAATACATTCATTAGTCTTTTATCCTTGTCAGTATTTATTTCTTTTTAATTTGGGTCCCAATTGCTTGTGTACATATACCTTTCAAGGACACTAAAGGAAGCGATAAACATCCACAAGCTGTGTTCTCCCATTTGCAATAAAAGCAGGCACACACACAATGGCCGGATTTGTCTAGTCTCCATAAAGCTGACTTAGCCATATAGAAATTATTACTTATCCATTAGAGTTTCACAAAACTCCCACCTACAAAGATAGGTATGTATTCTGAGAAAAGTAAACAAATTAGCTGAAGAAGAATATCATTTTAATAAAAAAAAGGTTCCTGGGGAGTGAATATATATGCTTAGGTCATCCTGGAAACGTCTCCTTGGCGCCAGAGGGAAGAGCACCAAGCAACCAGAGTCCATAAGCTCTTGGGAGAACGTGGTCTAGTTTCTGCCCCAGGGATGCTCATTATCGTTGGCATTCATTAAGCAGGGGTTGGTTACTCCTCCCTGGAATCACAGTAACATTTTAGCCTTATTTTCTTTCTAAAAATAATATGCCTCCCATTTGTTTAAAGTTTAACTGTGTTCTGATAATCGTGCCAAAAAGCAGTTATATTGCTTCATCCCTGTGAAGGAGAAGGTATTGTCTTACTGTGGGAATTCTGGCTCAGAGGTCTTAGGAGTCTCCAAAGTTAGGCAGGTTTTAAGTGGCCAAGTCATGATCAAAACCTGGGTTTGTCAGATTCTGGAAGCCTGTACTGTTAGTCATTATGTTAATTGGCCTCTTAAGCAGCTTGGAACTCTTTGGGGGCAATTATTCCCTTGCTTTCTGGATTTTCTACCTCCACCCCCACCCCAACAACGGACTCCATATTTTGAAAGAGATTTTTCTCCTACCAAATTGCACCTATAGCTTTTTTTTTTACTTTTATCTGCCAGATAACCATGTTGGATATAATTGCTCACCTTTCAGCCCTATTTCTGAAACTTTTAAAGAATGTGTAGAGGAATTTCTGCAATAAGAGAAGGGCAAGGAGAATAGAGAGAGACTCAAGGAGTAGGAAGGGGCTAGATCAGCATCACGTCTTAATGCTGATTGAAGGAACTTCTTCTGTATAATATATAGACAGTTGAGTTTTAAGCAGAGTATTATAATAATATGTTTGGAAATCAACTGGGAGGCTATCACAACAGTCTAAGCAAGAGATGATACAAGTGTAGCTTGAACTTGAATGCTGGCAATGATGATGGTAAAAAGTGAACCATTTACCAGAGCTATTTAGGAGGAAAAGTTGTCAGGATGTAGTGGCTGTAGGGTATGATGAGAAAGGACTGTCAAAGATGATTCTAGGTTTCTGTGCTGTGAAAGCTGTGGCTGGTGGTATTTTTCACTGAGATAGAAACACTGGAACAGTGCCAGGGCGGGGGCAATTGGGAGCAAAGGAAATTTTTCAGTTTTGGGACACTGAGTTTCGAAACCTGCAAATAATGAGATCAAGTTAGATATTTGAGTCTCAAAGAAGTTGTCTATGATAAGAGATATAAATTTAGGGGTCATAGGCATATAGAGAGTTACAGAAGCCATGTATTTGGCTGAGATTGCCTGTACTAGTCTTTGAATACCTCAAAGGTTTAAGGTTGAGTGAAATGGAAGGCTCTGGAATAGTAGGAGCAGCCTGAAGGGAGAAGGAAAGCCAGGGGACAGATGTCTGTCACAGAAGAGAAAGGAGAAAAAACTCAAGGCTAAGGGATGGTCAATGGTGTCAAATTACACTGAGGTCAAGAATACTAGGAATGAAAATTTTCCATTGCTCTATCAAATATTTTAGAGACGTGTACTCAAAAGAAGCCAGAAACAAGAATACACACAGTATGAGTCCATTTATACAAAGTTCAAAACCAGGTAAATTAATCTACAGCCTTAGAAGTCAGAAAGTGTTACCCTTCAGAAGGATAGTAACTAGAAGATAGCATTAAAATGGCTTCTGGTTTCTGGAAATATCCTGATTCTTGACCTGGGTGGGTTATACAGGTGTGTTCACTTTGTAAAAGCTCATCAGGCTATACTATTATGATTTATGCTCTCTGTATGTATATTACACTGCAATATGAAATATCCATTAATAGAAAACAGGCATGGAATCTGGGTGGGGAAAGGCGTACTCATATTCTTTTGACTCATCAATTCCACTTCTCAAAATTTAGCCTACTGATACAACAGCAAGTATGCAAAATGTATATAAAAGGGTGTTCTTTACAGCCTTGTTTGTAAAGATTTTAAAAGCGAACTAAATATTTTAAATAACTCATTAATTAAATATAATTCATCCATTCAATAAACTCTATAGGACAATAGAAAACTATGATAAGCTGATACAGGAGCTACGTATGTGATAATAATACTAAATACAAAGCAATTACCAAAAAGTTATGTATCATCTATTTAAAGTTTAGCTGTGTAGGTAAGGATCGAGTAGGTAAGCAGAGAGGAAAATAATTCTGAAAGCAGCTTAATGGCTTTTACTGGGAAGACAGCAGACTTTGGTAAGAGGTACTAAGTATTCCATGGTGTGGCAATGGCTGATATGATGATGAAAGGATCCATTACAGGTAACATAACATGCTCAGCTCTGGGTGGATTCTAACGAGGTTTTGCAAGCATCTGTGCATTTTAGCGTCTGCATTCACTCTGCTTTAGATCTGCTAAGGAGACATATAGAGGAGCAATTGAGAATTCAATCTGCTCAAACTTTGGGAGCAAGATAAGGCAGTGCAATGGGCGGGGGTGGCAGGGGTAGCATTTATATATTCTCTAAAACACAATCTCATCTAATATTACAAGTTTTGATTCTCTTCATTTTAACTTTTTAATCACAAATTTGTTTGATGATTTGAATTTTGAGAAATAACGTGAAATCATTATGAATTAAATGTCCTTACGTTGATCGTGACAATACCTAAAATTTTGTACCCATGGGCCCTAACTTCAGTAAACCCTAGGGGCAGGGAAAAATAATACCAAAAGGAACACAGCAGATGGAGCAGCATAGCATCAACTACAAACATGATGTTTTCCTTCTAGCCTGAGTTGTTGCATTAAAATTATCCCAGAGGGGAATAATGAAAATAGTATAGATAAAATACAGATAGAGGGTTTTTTCTATATCAGTATAGCTAGACTTAACAGCCTAGTTCCCTTTTCCGAAATTTCTAATAGCCCAGGTTTCTCAATCTCTGGTAGAAATCTTAGCCCCAACTATAAAACCCAGTTGCTGTAGCCCTTTGCTTTTTCTGATCTTGACACTGAGATGGAAGCGGGAAGGTGGCCACTCCTAGCCTCTCCTCCTTTCTTTACCCGCTCCTACCTCAGCAGGGCTGGTGTCATACATGTTCCCAGCCCTGTTCCAATTTTGTGCACTTGTTAAGTAAATGCTGTTTTTGTTTTTGTTTTCTTGAGTGAACTTTTTTCACTTCCCCTATTACTGCCCATATGATTTAAAAAATTTAAAATAAGAATAGCTAACATCCGGGTATTCCTTTTACTAATTTATATTCAGCTTTCTCTTCAGCTAACAGATCTGTTTTTCCAAGGCAATATATGCTTTAGGTTTTAAACACTGTTAAAAGGCATTACTTATAATATAATAAGACTAGCAGATGTTTAGTTAGTACCGTGCAGTTATTGTAGTGAACACTAGATGTCACATTTTAGTTCTAGATTATTTCCCAGGGAGCACTTGCATTGTTTGTTCTTTCATTAGAATTTTTGCTACATTTTGCACTATTTCCTTTCAGCAGATTCCTGGGGTTAGACAAGTTTATCCTAGGGCTTATAAGGGGGAGAAAAATACCTAAGAATAGCAATACAAAATTCTGGAA